AAAAGACGAATCACAACTTCAAAATGCGCTTTTATAATTTATTGTAAGGTAATTGAAGCACGAAATAATGCATAATTAGACATTAGAGTTACGCTAGTTAATTGAGTATGCAAGAGCTTAACTAGAATATATGAAGTAACTGAATAATAAAAGATTAATAGCTGTACTCCAAATAGAAAGGAATTACAGCTTGGAAAAATGTGAATACAAAATATTTAAAGAAACAATACAATAAAACATTATTTCAATAATGCAAAACACATAACTTGTTATTCTCGTTGGATCTCTCGGTAGCTAAGCTGTAAGGTTAAGAACTTATAACTCTAAAATTTGAAATTGGTGGACATAGCACAAATGGCCCATTATTCAGCTCTGTGTTAATTAATAAATAAACAACTTATGTTTCTTTTGGGCCTCTGATTAGCAATTAAACCTTTCTGTTTAATTATAAAAGTAACTTTCTAAATTTCTGAAGTAACACAACTTAAAAAAAAAATCGAACCAAATATAGCTAATTCGAAGTATTTATCTTGAAAAAAGATTTTCCCTTTATTTTGGATCGAAAATGTTACTCTCTTACCACCAGAAAAAAAAACAAAAACGTTTACTTAATTACAAAATGAAAAAGGACAAATAGGTGGAAGAAACACATACAGCATCATTTCTTAATATCATGGCTATAGCACTGTGCTTGTTTGTATTTTAAAGCAAAGGCACTTTAGGCTATCTGCTTTCCTCGAGAGGAATCAAATCCCGGATTTTAGCGTCGTAAATCCGTAAAATTTCTGCTGTCTACCAGCATTGTGCTCAGGAAAGTCTACCTTTATCTTGAACATAAAGTTTGGCACAGTTTTGTATTCACATGAGAACAAGATAGACTTATAAGTACTCAGAAGTATTTTAAAGTCATAGGAACCAGCCTGAAGTTGCACTATTAAACTACAGGTTACAAGCTGTCAACAGTAGATTTCTAAAGACAACGAAAATCCAGAAATGTACATGAATTTATATATTTTAGAATTTACGAGTAACATATTATAATAACATGGCTCTTCTCTGACAGAGGTTATTGTTTACCTTAGTTCACATCTTCCGAGAGAGGGTTAGGAGTGAAATTTATATCACCAATTGACTGAAAAACAATAATTAAGCTCCAATTTTTATACAGCTTACTCTAAAGAATAATTGAATTTATCGAACTTGTAAGATACGTTAAAGAAGAACTTAATGAAATGAGCACTCCACTATCCAAATTAATTGATTTGGTGAAAATGTATAGATTGCGACGGAGACAACTTGGAAATCACCAAAGGGAAAGAATGCATTCAACTCAACTGAAGGGTAAGTTCCTATCACACATTCCTGGTCTCCAGGCTTATACTAAAAACGGAAATGTTCTACTGATCCGTGAGGCAGATGTAAGGAGACGAGACGTCTGTCAGAGGTTTTTGACTAGAGTATTGGTATTGATATTAATATCAATAGAGTAATAATATTGATTATATGTATTCAGCAAAAGAAGCAAATATAGTACGTAAAAATTTTGTTTGGTGAATTATTTATAACTGGAGGTTCATTCACAATAAGATATCACGAAACATTTGTTACATCAGTGCTTTTGGCATTGGTATGTATTCTCCTAGAAGATCCGAACATAATTAAACAGACTGTTACCCCAGTGCGACCTGAAAATCTGACCATAGCGCACCTTATTAGGCACAATAGCATCAAGTACTAATGCCGAAAATCATGGCCAGGTGGTTAGGGCACTCGACTCACAATTTGTGAGTCGTGGGTTCGAATCCCCGTCACACCAAACATGCTCA